CACCGCCTCGGCAGCGCCGCTCGGGCCCGGGGACGCGGAGGATGCCCCGGCCGGCGCGGCGGCGGATGAGGGGAATCTGCGGAGGGGATCTCCCGCTGAGGCTCTCTTTGCAGGTCTGCGGTACCCTGAACCCTGCCTTCTGCTTTTCCCCAGCCCGGTTTCTGCATTTCTCTGTTTCCAGATGAAGCTGACAGGGTCACTGCTAGGCAGGACGCTTCCTCCGTGCACTCCGGCCACACTGCTGGTGTCGTGCCTTCTCCTGCTCTGTGCTGCTTGTCGCTTCAACTTGTATTAATGAATGCTTGTGCACAGGGAACTTGGAGTCAGCCTCGGGGGAGGATGCTCTGGCCTTCAGAGCAGGATTACCATTGCATTTCCAATGGACTTCTGAAAGTGCTGGTTTTCTAATCGACTGGAAGGAAGGCTCTTGCTCAGATCTTGGGGATTTGAGCTCTGAAAGAACTCTTTTCAGGCCGTTTCTTGCATAAACAGTTCTGTAAAGTGAGCTGGCCCTCTGAGCCTGCAGATAGGCAGCTGTATCAAAGGCTTTAAGTCTCTGTGGTCTTTACAGCAGCTTCGAGAGCTTTGTTAGTGAGCTGAAATAGAGATGTTGTCAGTGCTTGAAAGCTGGGCAGTTTGCTAATGCAGTTGATGGGTATCCCCTTTCAGTGTGCATCTCACAGTGGAGAACCCCCAGCTTGGGGGTTCAGGTGAATTTGAAGAGAAGTAGCTGTTTGTCAGTAATGTGGGGGGGAGGTCCTCATATGTTGTCCCTCCTGGGGTGTTTTCCTTTTGAACCCTTATTTACCACTCATTGCTTTTCTTGTCATGGACGAGACCTTTCCCTCCTTGTTTGTTGGAAAAATGGAGCTGTGGCTCCCAGCTGGGTGCCCTGCATTGTGCAGTTGTGTGCCGCTTGTTGAGCAGGAAAGCCTGGAGTGAGGGTGCTGCTGTGGAACAGTTCCTACCCAGCACTCCTGGTCCACAAAAGCCAGCACAGGAGGTGCTGTGTGATTTAATTTCATTGCTTTCATATTGTAGGCGAAGCTCTTGAGGGCAAGTTTTGCATTAAGAGTTTCAAAGCATGGTTCCCTTTGTGGATATGGCTTTCATTGTGCCTGTGTGTACGGAGTTCTGGAGAGATGATCCTTGCCCTTTCCCATGCCAAGTCAACAGGACACTGAGAAAATATTCCTAGGATCCTCTCATTTTATGTCCTTCCTGCCTCTTTCCTTGGCATCAGGTTTGAGTTGTTCCACCACAGTAATTCAAATCAATCTGGCTGAAAAGAATGATGAATCAGAAATAAAAGGTAGAACGAAATGCAAGAGGCAGTCAAGGGAATCAAAAGGCTTCTGTCTGAGTAATGACAAAATAAACCATGATTTTTTTGCTTGGAAGATTTGGCTGGAAGGGTATATTGTATTGATCAGTTTGCGTGCTACTTTTGAGGGTGATTTGGAGTGCGAGTTCATTTGGTTTTCATCTTGAAAGAAAAAGCATCCGCTGAAACCATCAGACAGAAGATCCACATCTTTACATGGACACACACATATTCTGACAAAAGGACAGTTTTGTGCTGCCTGTGGAGATGTGTTAGATCCAATGTACCACATCCCAGTCACACTGGCCATGGGTGAAATGGACCATCCCTCTGTAACGACAGTTTCACTGTCAACTTCCAGGGTGAGGGATTTGTCACTTTATTTTTCACTGGACAGTTTCATGCTTTGGTCTGTGGCAGAGTATCTCTCCATCCCCCCTGAGCCAGAGGCATCTCTTCTTGTTGTAAATACACGAGGAATGATTCATGGAATCACTGGAGGAATGTCCTGCAGGACAGTGGTGCTTTTACTCCTTCCCCTTCTGTGTTGGGTGAACTATTTGCAATCTGAGATTCCAAAATCAGCAATTACAAAATGGATCTTATTGGGAGATGGGAATCTGAGAATTGTTTTGCCATCCAGCAGTGTTGCTATTCTAGATAATTAACTGCATCATGCAGAGGTACAGGTGAGTGAGGTTGGCGGAGAGAAGGGGGAAGCAGAATCAGCACTGCCATTCTGGGCTTTTCATCCTTGGAGCCCACTTTAGCAGCTGTTCTCTTCAGAGTCCTTTTTGAGTATCTGACAAAAGCTGCTTTGAATTTTCCTCAGATGCGTGAGGATCACTGGCTGCAGGGTCTCCAGGCTCCCTCTGTCTGTGCTCACTGACCAGTCTTGTGCCATGTCTGGGGATTTCATCGTGCTGGGACTTGCCCCAGTCATGGAGGTCTCTATCTGCTATCATATCTCTATCTCTACCTACTGACAGTATCATTGGGCAGAGTTTTATTACAAAACTTGATCTTGTTTGACTTGATTGAGAGGTTGCAAGAAGCTGATGAGACCGGCCAGCGTGGCTCAGGGCAGGGCGTGACGGCGCCTCTGCTCGAGCTGGGGGTTAGTTATTGGTAACAGGCAGGATCTGCACTGCAGCCCAGGGAACAAGAGATCTGCTCACCTGATGTAACCTGGAGTTCCCTAAGTTCTCCTTAGTTGTCAGATCCTTTAGGATGGAAACTTAGCAGAGGAGGCACCATTCAAATCTGGTTGCTCAGTTTCATTGTGCTACTGGCTGAGCATTGTAAACTTAATGACTTTAACCTTCCACTTTCATTTTCCTAAGGAGTCTTCTGTTTACAGGATCTTAAATTACAATGCTGTGTTATACCAGCTTGCCTGATGTGCTTGCTGTCCCTCTTCCCTTCTCCTTTTCCATCTTGCTCTGTTCTTTTGTTCTTTTAAAGAACGAGCCTCAGAGAAAGCAGTGGAGGGAGGCAGCAAACAGGGAACAAATCGGCATTCACAGATTTTTAATGAATTTCTGCAGCTGGGTCTGAAACTGACAGAGCTTTTTGGGAAAACACAGATAACAGAGAGCCCTGGAAATAGCCAGGTTATGAAAGCATTAAAAATGGAAACAACAGCCCTGAATGTCAATGCTTGTTGTGCTTCTGAGGTTTTGTTACAGTGTAATGTAAAAGCAGCTGGTTTTGCCATAATTTGCTGCATTTTGCTGCGCCTAAGAATAAACACAGAGACTAAATTATTTGTGACTGATGCTTTAATGTCCTTGGAGTTCAGTGGTCAGGGAGCTGAACTGAGTGTTCGTGATAGCTCAGTCATTTCTGATTTATCAGCAAATTTAGGTCATTTTGAAAGTGGGAGTTTAAACAGTAGTTGATAACAGCAACACTTTGGACCTACTCTGTTTTTGAGTGTTAACTGGATGCCAAATTGCTGACATAGGTGTGATCAGATTAGTTCTGTGGGTGGAAGAGCAGAAATGCTTCGTCAGGATTTTATACTTATGGTAGTTAATGTGTTGTTTTGTCCTACTGTCAGCTTAGCTGCTGTGGTCACTTCAAGAAATATAAATATTTTTGTAAAAACTCCCCTGCTAATAAACAGTTATTGTTGAGATGGATGAAATAAAAGTCTTACTTTAAATTTTGAACCTAATTTGGAATAAGCTGGGCACATGGTGCTTTTCAGGAAGCAGCAAGCTCTGTCAAAGATGGCAAGCTTTGACCTTTCAGAGGTGAACAGTAGACTGGGATGTGCTGCTCGAGGCTGAAAATGAGCATATTCTAAACCTGAACTTCATTTAAAAGTCAGCTGAAACATTTGGGCCGCAGTCTCTTCCCCAGGCTGCTTCACCAGATTTCTCTCATATTCTTGACTGCAGGTGAATTACACGTGTCCAATATTAATTTTTTTACAGCTGCCTGTAGACATTCCCAGCCAGGTATATTACAGAAGTAAGCTGTATGGCTAGCAGGAAACTTGGAGATCAGAACATCCAAGTCCTTGTATCCTGTGCACTCCTGTGAACGGGTCTGGGTCAGGCAGTCCAAGACACTTCCAACACCAAGGTTATTTGACCTCTTCAATTTAGATAGTCTGGAGGCTTTAAAGTACCTGTGCTTTCCAGGCAGAAGTAGTCTGTGCACAATTAACTGTACTTGCAGCTGATTTTACCTGTGGATGGATTCTGCAGCTTTTCAGAGTGATACAGGAGGCCTGGCAGAGGGTTTTGGGATGCCACAGGTTTGGGGATTCCAGCTCAAAGCTCTTCTCTGCTGGAAGTGATGAGGGTAGTCAGAATGATGTTGTCTTGCTTCAAGTCAAGGACTCATCAGCCAAGAATGAAAACGCTACTGAATTAAATATAAAAACCAGAATAACTTAATTTTGGGAATCCCATTTAGACCTCCAGTGAGCAAGTCCTGTAGGAGTGTTACAGTATAGTATATTAAATGTAATTATTTAGTTATATATAGTATATTAAGTATATAGTATATTAAATACTGTGTTCTGTTTTCCATCTGTCAGCCAGTTAAAGCTGTGATGCTGTCAGGCTGAGCAAGCTTGAAGATATTTTCAAGCCTTCTTTTGAAGGTTGTTCTGAAGGCTCTGTAGTTGGAGTTTTAAAAATGCACAATGAAATTTTGGCTCTTTAATGAGCACAAGGTACTGTTGATAGAGGAGGTGACTGCAGATGGAGGGTGCTCAGCTAAAGCCACTCAGTCAGCCCAGTTCTTCAGACAGGGCTCCAAACTCCTGGCCTTTGGTTTACAGCTGTTGAGTATTTAACCTGCTGTGATTGGAATTCACCTGGAATTACTGTAGCCTACTGTAATAGGAATTTACCTATTCTCTGAGAAGGAAGATCCTTCAGCTGGCCCTCTGTTTCACAAGACATAGCAAGCCCTTAAAGCTTGCTGTCAGCTGCCCCTGCTGCTGAGGCTGTGATCCCAGGAGCTCTTCTCCAGGGAATGCTCCTCTTGTGCCAGCTCTTGCTCAGGTGGTGGTACTCAAGCTGCCTCACAGTTGGGTAGCTGGTTCATTTTGGAATCCCCACAGCATGGGCTGAACTGCTGCTGGTCAAGGCTGCTTGCTCAACAGCAAGGACAGATTTGCACTTGCCCTGTTGTGGTTGTTGCAGTTTAAGCATAAAATTTTGCCCTAGTAAAGCTACACCCTCTTGGCTGTGCATTGAAGGGGATGGCTGATGCAATGGGAAAAACCAGGTGCCCATAAAAACACTGTGGGACCTCTCTAAACTTGCTTTGATTTGGTTTCCTCCAGTTTCAATTTTCTCCTTCCCAGTTAGGAGATTCTCTTTCATTTTTTTAAATTTTTTTTTTCCTTCTTCCTATATTTTTCAGCTTGGCAGTTTATTGTGCTGAAGGCTTTTATTTAGCAAGGCACATGATGGAATGACAGCATCATCTCTCAGTGAAGTGCATGAATATTTCTAGCATAATGCCCACGGTGTCATCAAGGACACACTTTGCATTTCACGTGCCTGTTTTGGTCAGCAGCTCAGTGCTGAGTAAGCAGAGCACAGAGCACAGGGGGCAGCCAGGTTGGTGAGCTGTGAACACCTCCAGAAACTGGGAGAAATTTGGAGAAATGCTGGTAGTGTTCTGGCCAGCACATCTAGTCTGCTTTGTGCTTTTGAAGCAGCAGGGATTTTAGGAGTGAGCTTCAGGAGAGGGCCACGGGCACAGCAAACCCTACATCTGGTTTGGTGGTTCTGTTGCAACAGCTGGGCTTTCACAATACTTACTGGAAGGCATTATTTTCTCTTTGCATTGTCTAAACACTCTGAGCACCAAAAGAATGTGATTTATGAAACTCAATGAATATAAAGCTCATTCTCTATTAGGTTTTAATCATATGTGGTTGTGAATCAGCAATGAAGTAGCAGCTGCTGTGAAGATTATCTAATTTCTTTCCTTGTTAGTATTTAAAACTCTCCAGGCTTAGTGAGCTTCCCACTTACTCGGCCTCCACCTTCATTCAAATTATACTTCATTTCTGTTCATTCTCATCTGTTCCACAGGCTGTGTGACACATTCTTCCTTTGCATGTGGCTTTGCTGGTGTTGGAGAGTGCAGGATTTTCTCCTGGCTGGAAAGCCCCTGGTGCCCTTTGAGTTTTACAAACAAACCTTGAGTAGGAACACAAAGGTGAAAGAATTAGGCCTCCTCCTTTATCCTGGGCTCTCACAGAGGGACCTGTTCTGTAGCCTAAAAGTACTTCTCATACTCATGTGGCTGATTGCAGTTTACCCCTTAAAATGAGGATTACTGGATGAATAAGTTAAACTAGCCCTGCTGTGAGACTTGTATTTATTTTCTGGCATGCTGGTACTTAAATGTCAGAAAAGAGCTCCTGGGATGGTGGCCTGCAATCCAAATGCACATTTGTGGTGCCATAAAACAGCGAGTAGCTGACTGTGAAGAAGCAGCACTGAGCTGTACACTTACTGTTGGTGATGCAAAGTGTCTTTCTTCTCTGCCACTGCCTCTCAAGGAACATCTGAGCTGAAATCATCCACCCATGAAAATGGCCTGCTTGGTGCTGGGCGCTTCATGGTACAGATCCTTTGTGAAGTCTTTTGTTTTACCAAAGACATGGTTTTGATGTGATTCAGTGTAAATGCAGTCTTGGGCTTCTTTTGGCTTTAATTACTGAGAACTTGTTGCTATCAGTGAGCTGTACTCAATCTGCTTTTGAGCAGGAAATTCATTAGTGTGAGCGCCGAGGGTGGTGAGGCACAGGGCACTGATAGCGGAACAGGGATGCTCCCACTCAGGATGCTCTGAAATCAGTGAATGTCTCCTGGGCTGCAGAAGAAATGGCAGCTGCTAAAAAGCAGGCTTAAATACGAGGAGTAGCTTTCTTAATCTCCTAATGCCTGTATTTTACCTAGTGAAGCTCAAGAACAGTTCATATCTGTTTGTTGTCTTGCCCATAAGGAATAAAAACAATACAGCTTAATCTTTAAAATAGGTCTTGGATAAACAAAGCTGACAGGTATATCTTCCTGTTGTAAACAGGATTTAGGATCTGGATTTCTTGTGCAAATTACCTTTGACAGTTGTTTCTAAGCTAGTGCTTCCAAAAACCAATAAATGATTTTTTTGTCCTTGTTATATTAATAACTCAGCCTCTTGACAGATGGGATCATACTGAGACCTGTGAAGGACATTACAAAGGGACATCATATTAAAATAAAACTCAAGTGAGAAACAGGAAACCAAATTCTATTAGGCCCTAATTTTACACAGTAATTAAAAATCCTTGACCTCCCCCATTCCACTCATCTGTTAGCAGTATGGATGGCTAAAGAGCAGCAGAGGATATCGGCCCTGCTGCTAATTTTAGCCCAGTGCCCGGGGTGTGTGCCTGTGTGTGCATGGGAAGGGCCACGGATGCAGCTCCACTGGAAACAGATCCACACTGCTGGGCCCTTGGAGGAGGCCTTGGGCCATGTCCAGCTTCGGCAGCGGCTTTGAACGCTCCTGTTGCAGGGTTTGGTGATCCTGGAGGTGATGAGAACAAGAGATCACAGCATGAGATGAACTCGGGGTGCTGTGCTGGTGGAAGCATTTGAATGTTGGTTGAACTCTGGCTGTGTGGTGGGCTCAGAGTGCAGCCCTGTGCCTGAGAGAGAGGGGGATTAATCAGCATGGGGGAGAAGCACTGTGAGATTTTAGAAACTTCCAATTTTACCCTTCAGGAGGCCAGCTTGTCTGTTCACCTGCTGTGGCAGAGATGCAGGAACTAGAAGGGCAAAATGGAGAGAAGCTTCAAAGTGCACACAGGCTTAAGGAAAACCATCAGCCACTGTCAGGCCCAGTATTGGGGTAAGGCCCAGCTTTAAGGGGTTAAAATGAGATTTGTGGGGGCTGTTTGTTGCAGCATCTGTGAGTGCAGACTGGAGTCATGGGTGCCCAAAGGAGTGCCTTAGAGGACTGTGAGTGGCCCAGGAGCAGGAGTGAAAGAGGTTTCTGTTCTGTCTGTTCCTGAAGTAACATCTGACAGCATCCTGTGCATTCAGTACCTGCTGAAGAACGGTCAACTCACACACTTCCAACTGCAGGAACATCCCAAAGCTTTACCTGTGTCCTCCTGGGTGTCTGCAGGTAGCCCAGTGCAGGTGGGAAGAGGGAGAAAACTCTTGGCAGTCCGTCAGAAAGGTCAGTGTTCTCTAATCCACAGCAGTGACTTAACAAGCTTTCTCCTTTCCATTCATAAGACAGGCCATGCAGGGATTACCACTGCTATACATAGATTGCTCTTAGCTGTGTCCTGTCCTGCTGGGAACACTGTAAGAGCTGTGTCAACCTCAGGGCTGGGGATCCCACTGCTGCTTATCCAGTGTGCAGTCTCTGCTGAGAGATCCAGTGGGACCCTGGCAGGACCAGAAGATGACAACTCTGAAGCTGGAAGCGCTCAAAACACTGGATTTCCTCAATGGGAGATCCATCAAAAGAATAAATGTGTGTGCTGGCTAGTGCTTCCCAGGGCAGGAGTCAAAATGTAGCTCTGAAGATAATTTGTTGGGTTTTTTCCTGCACACAAGGGGTTTGTGTGGGTTTTTTGTAAGTGTGTGTTTAGCTGGTTTGGAGATTTGGCAGCGGTGTTGGATTGTGTCAGCCTGTGTGTGCACATGGAGATAACGAGCCACGGCGTAATCCAAAATTCCTCTACTTGATAGCCCCTTATCTCAGGGCATGTGCTCTGTGTGTTTTCGCTCTTGATGGCTCCCCTTGAGGTGCTGGCTCTGTAAACACAGTTGCTGTTTTAAATGGTCTGGGAGTGTCCTGCTTTGGCCTTTATTGGTACCTGAAATAAGTCTGGGAAGTGCCCAAAAATGAGCTCCTGGTCAGGGATGTACAAGCACCCAAACCCTCTATAGCTTGTCAGAGCAATGGCTGGTGCTGGCAGACAGGCATGTTTGAACTTTCTGTTGGAATTACAGCCTGCTCCATGGAGCCCATGAGCATTTTAATATTGGGTATTTCAGTTTCTATTTGCCACGTCACACATGGGTAAGGATGCGTAATGTAACTCAGCATATGTAGAGATGTTGGTATTAGCATTTGGGTTGCTTTCAGCAACAAACACACTGTATAAACCACTTAAAATCCTTCAAATTCCATGGACCATAGCAAGAAGTGTTATCCTAGGTGAAGCTGCTTAGCACAGGATATGTGACTTGACATTTTTTTGTCATCAAAGTTAGCAGTCACTGGAATGACCCTGTGCAGCCTGTTGTGCAAGTGTGAGTTGCTGCATGAGAAGAGCACTCAAACTAAAGCAAATACATGTGTGTGTGCATTTATATAAGTGCAGACTACTAAAAAGTGTCAAAGTTCGCTGTGTTCTCCAAGTACTGCATTAGTGACTCTCTCAGAACACGTTGAGGGTGCTGGCTTGCTCTAAAGTGTTGGTTTGGGCCTACAGACTGTTTCAGGTGCTCTGGATTAGTGAGAATTCTTCACATACACCCCGTTTTGAGATTGGAGGGAGAGTGTCTGGCTCAGCGTCAGGGATTCCTCCAAGGTGACAGCTTCGCTGAGGGCAGAAATTATTTACAAGTGTAGCTAAAAATGAAGTTTCCTGTTGGCAGAGTGGGGATGAGTCATTGTGGTTCTGAGTCAAGGGGTGGGATCTTCCCTTCACTGAGCAGGGCTTTACTTCCAGATCTGCTTTCAGTTCAGGTGTTTGTCACTCTTGTCCCTGTTCCTGAGAAAACAAGGGGGAATTCAGAAGGTGTAACGCCCTGGATGAGTCTCCACTGTGGAGTTAGGGGTGAGGATCTAGCCATGGCTCTCCCAATCCATCCTGTTACTCACATCAAGCATCCTTTTACAGAACCATGTGCTTTTGTTGTACCAGTGCCCACTGGCATTAGCTGTGTTTTTCCTGTGCTTGCCATACACGGCGTCTTTCTGTCTCCATCCAGCCAGGTCTCCCCGGGAGGGGAGGAAGACTGTGGATGTTACCAACTGCATTAGAGCTAAGAGATTTGCAGTGACTTCCTCATTTCATGAAGGGTTTTTTATTGAATTTTAGATGTCAGATTAGACTGGAGAACCATGAAAATGATAAAGTGTTAAACGTACCTATGCCATTCTTGCTGAAAAGCAGCAGACCAGTAATAATTTTAAAACTGAAGTGCTGGTGGAGGGTGTTGAAGCTGTGCCAGGAATGTTCTCCAGTTGCACCTTGTGGATTTGTAGGAGGCAGTCTCTAGCAATACTGAAGGTGTTAGTCCTGTGGGAGGGTTTGCCTCCCTTGTGTCTGCAGAAAGGGGCACTAATTTTTCATCCTCCTACCTGTTTGAGTTCTGAGCTTTACTTCATTTTAAGAGTGCCTGAACAATGCAGCTGAGAGTCTGCTCTGCTGCAGCTTGAGGTTTGATTTTTATTTTTTTTTGCTAGAAGCTGATCTTGTCAAACCAGAGTCCTGCAGCTTTTGTCCATGTGCTGCTTCTACATTAACTTCCATGGCAGTACTGCCCACTAGTTGAGTTCCTGTGTCACTTGGGAAGAAAACCTTGGACTTGAACACACATGGCTTGTGCTAAAAGTGTAGCACAATGCATGCTTAAACAAAGGCAGAAGATGTGGACTCTGATAGTTGTAGTGTCAGCATTTTGCTGATGGAGTGCTTTGTTCCTATGGAAATTGCAGTCAGAGTTGCACAATTCATTTGTCAATCTCTACCATCAAAGAAAGACTTGACTTGGACAATAGTAATGTATCTTATTTTGGCAAAGTCTGTTTTCTTTTGCTTGAACGTAATATCCTATTACTGTTACACTAACTCACATGAGCCTTACTATTATTCTTGCATCTTCCATTCTGGGACTTCACATGGGCGCCAAATACTTTTTGCTTCCTCTAATAACCCTCTCTATTGTTTCTCAGAGAGATCTGTCAGTTTTATTGAGCTGCAGTCACAGACTCTCAGTCTGCTGACTCCTGCAGCTGGAGACAGCTGTTCTGAATGGAGAATGCACACAGATCTTTGGTCATCATACAGTATCTGAACTTAAATTGATATAAAATTATTTATTCCCCCGCCTTGATGCAGGGATCTTTTTGTGACATTTTTGTCAGATTTTAAATGAGTATTTGGAAGCTTTTTTAGCTGTTTAGCTTATAGGTAGGTGTTCTTCTGTGTGGCAGATAATGAATGGTCTTGTTGATGAAGTTGGTATAAAAATGTGTTTCAAGGGTCCTAGAGGGGGAGACAAGTTCTTGGCCTTTTAAGGAATTTTAAACTCTTAATTAAGCACTCTTGCAACAAAACAAAAATCCAGAAAACCTGCCATGCATCCTAAGAGCTCATAGATCTGTTGCAGTTCCTAAACTCGGAGGCCATGGACTAATGCTGTTCACTCTTCGTGGTGTTGTACATTTTGCAGAAGGCGTTTTATCTCCCAGCGCTGCTCTCTAGACTTTTTAGAAGACATAGTGGAATATGCCAGTGTACGAAGGTACTTTTTTTCAAAAGCAGCATTAACCTCAACTCGTTGCATGCAGTCCTCTCCTCCCTCCACCCTCTTCCACGCCAATATCTGAGGTCCTGCATGCTGTTGCTGCCATCTGATCATACAACTGGCATGAATTTTTCCCAGAACGCTTAACAGATTTGGCTTTTTTGTTTGTTTTTCTTTTTATCGTTGCAGAACCAAGCATATATCTGGGTCTCCAAGACACAAAAGTTTGAAGAAGATGCACTTCATCAAGAACATGAGGCAGTATGACACCAAGAACAGCAGGTAATGTGTGGAGATCGAGGTTTCCTCTGTACTTGTGTGCAGTAAGAAACAGCCCCCAGTTCCACACAGTAAGAAATTTAGTATCAGTGAGAATCAGAGGATAATAAGGCCTGGGGCCTGGTTAGTTTTATCCAGTCTTCTATCAAAAGGGGTAGGTGCTCATATCTGCTACATTTGCAGCAATACACTGCTGATTCTGTGATCCCACTCTGAGGAGGTTAAATCATTCTCTCTTTTCTTCTCTCACATTTCTTATTTCTCACCCTTTCCTTATCTCAGGCACACAGAGAGGTCAGAGTTGAGGAGGATTTAAGGAGGATGACTTGGTTTAGCCAAATTCTTGGTTCATGGTCGCTGAGCAGAAGAGAAAGGGAGGCTGCATTCATGTTTATTATTAATAGAAGTGTGAGGTTTCATCTCAATGTAGAATATTATCTACATCTTTTCACAGGGTTTATGTAAAAAATACATAAATACAGATATATGTTAAAGGACTAGGATCTCCTCTGAGGAGCTCCCAAGGTGATGGCAGGTCCTGAACACTGGGGTTTGACAGAGAGCCCCAAGGACCTGCAGGGTGGGCGTGAAATCTCTGCTCTTCTGCTGCTTTCCGAAAACATTAAATCCACAGCAGTATCTATGACTTGCAGAGCAAGATAAGAAGAGCCTTTTGTTAACATCCCATAAAAATCTGCTTTGTAACTTCTGGATCTTAATTCATATCCTGGTCTTTCCCCATCTGCTTACAGGATTGTGTTAATCTGTGCTAAACGAACACTGTGCGTGGCGTTTTCTATCCTACCTTACGGGGAGGGGTTACGGATCAGGTGAGTCTCTTCAACTGCTTTGTGAAATGTCTGCTCTGTTGTTTCAAAAGATCTTCTGAAATGAGTGTGGTTGGTGTGGGTCTCCTGTTCTGAAGCAAATGAACTTATTTAACCATTCAAGGACAAGAGCTTGCTGTCAGAGCAGTAAAACCAGACACTACCAGTGTCAAAGTGTTCATTCAAACTCCAAGAGAAAAATAGTGGAAAAGGCAGACTTTTCATCCAGCGTTTATTCACATTTTTTAAAGCACTCCAGCCCTGTGAAATCTCTGAAATCAACTTTGAACACTTAATGTGATTGGCTCTGTAGGTCTCCTATACTCCTAAAGTGGTCAGAAATCAACTGTCTTTGGTGCCACAAACAATGGTGTCAGCAAAATAGTGCAGGGAGTTTCAGGGAAGGGTGCTGCTGCCTTCAGTGGAGATCCTCAAGGTTTTATAGTGAATTTACACCTAAATAAGGTAAAGATGCTCTTCTGTTTCTCAGCTTTAAGCCTTGAATGTCACTATTTGCAGCCTAAGAAAAGCAGAAACAATTTGGACTGATTCACACTGCTTTTAGTGTTTGTTTTATTGTT